AACTAAGATGGTTCGAATCATGCCTGAATAACAGAGTTCAACAATATCTAATAAACGGACAACTATCGAGCCCAAAAAAATAATATGCGGAGTTCCACAGGGGTCCATCCTTGGTCCTCTATTATTTTTATTATACATAAATGATATGCCTGATTCGATAAGTCACTTAACTCCTTCACTTTATGCTGATGACACGGAAATTTATGCATCTTCTAATGACTGCGCTGACCTTGTCGACAAGGTAAATATTGATCTCGAAAACATACGCAAATGGATGATACACAATAAACTTCAAATCCACCCCAGTAAATCGAAACATATGTTCATTGGATCTCCCTATAACCTTAAGAATAAAGTATCTGGTAATCCTATTTTAATTAATAATAAGCTAGTACCCAGGATTAATAAATATTCATGCCTTGGCGTGACTATGGACGAAAGGTTGTCTTGGGATAAACATATTGATTCAATCTGCTCTAAAGTTGGTGCCGGTATTGGTGCAATGAGACGTGTTAAACCTTTTGTACCACTGTCGACAACCAAAATGCTATATAATGCTATTATACAGCCTTATTTCGATTATTGCAGCCCGTTGTGGGATAATTGTGGAATTGGGCTCAAAGATAAGTTGCAAAAATACCAAAATCGTGCTGCAAGAGTAATTACTGGGGCAACTTACGATATTCGGTCATCTGAGTTACTCAATAATCTAAATTGGAAACCTCTCGAAGAAAGACGAAATTATCTTAAATCTATTTTCGTCTATAAAATTCTGAATGGCCACACCGCACCCAATCTTAAAGAAGCATTTCAATTTAATAATGAAAGACATAATACTTACAATCTTAGAAATAGGGATACTGATTTAGCACCACCTGTGCCGAAAACAGAATTCGGCAAGAGGTGCTTCAGTTATAATGGTGCCTTGCATTGGAATAATCTTCCCCATGAGGCAAAAATTGCTGACTCCTTAAGCTCTTTCAAATCGATATTGAAACAAAGAATGAGTTGAAATTTGCTTGTGTGTAATCGTGCAGCTAAAATCACTTGTATTTTTGTTGTTATATTTTGTATTTCTTGTAAATAGTTAATTTCTTGTAAATAGGTAATTTCACGCCCCTCATGGAAACCAGCCTTCCAACGGCTGTTGAGGCTAGCGTGGTTTAAATAAAGTTTTCTATGTATGTATGTATGTATGTATGTATGTATGTATGTATGTATGTATGTATGTATGTATGTATGTATGTATGTATGTATGTATGTATGTATGTATGTATGTATGTATGGTGGTAACAGTGATGATTGGTGATGTGTGGTGGCGATATTAATAATTTTCATATCGTAATCTGCTTTGTTACTTCATGTAGTGTGGCCATGAAATCACGAACGAAGATGTTCACATCTCGTATCTACCACTGGCACACATGTATGAACGCGCTTGTCATGTAAGATATTTTTATACTGTAGAACCAGCAACAAGAATAAAACTCGATTTTCTACTTTTTAAAAGTATGATTTTCCCAATTAAAAGTCTGCTCATCGTTTCAGTTCATGATGTTCTCGACTGGAGCGAGAATTGGATTCTTCACAGGAAACGTGCGAAAAATTACTGAAGACTTAAAGACTTTAAGGTGAGGTGACTTATACAAATTGTGAATTGGGTAGCAACGTTATATTGGTACAAACGTCAGCCAAATGTGTCTACACGTATTTGATCGGTGAGAGTTGATGAGAGTTGATAAGAGTTGGCAGTCACGAATTGTTACAGGGGACATTTCAAGCTCTAGATTAACAAAATAAAGGTTTGATGAATGTTCCAACTATGTTTTAACTTCAATAGAATACATGATAGTGTTGGGAAAGCATTAAGAACAGCTAACCAAGCTCACGTCGCTGCCAACTCTCATGCATTTTCATCCTCGTTTCATCCGTGCTTAACACTAATAAAACTTCTGAAATATTTTGCTAGGCCGACCATTTTCATTTCTGTGCCAAGACTATTGAACCGAATACACGATAAGGTAGGCCTGTTACTGTTCGCTAGAAAACTCATTCATTCAAGAGAGCTCTGTAATTTCTTAACAGTCTTCAACTAATAGAATTATCCAGAAAAAATAAATTAGTTTCTATAATTGGGTTCAATTAATTTTAGGTGATGTCTGACTTGGAGAAAAGTTCGTTCAAGAAATTTCTTTTCAACATGGCATTGTCTTCCAAAGAAAGTGAGCTCAGCAGGTTGGTTCTCAAATCAAGTGTTAAAATGGATTGTGACCATAGTTTGGAGATATAGTCAACCCACTCAACCCCAATATAAAACAAGCTGACAGAGTATAGCCTTGGTGCTTTGCTGGTATTTTTATAATTTATTATTTTAGCTAAAAACCTTTTTGTTTAGGAATATCATACGACGAGATAGTATGTGGGACTACATAGTCTTCAGAAAAATTCAGGTAAGATTAGGTCACCACACTTCCGAATCGTGTTGGAATTTAAGCTTCTCGATTCCGTATAGTATGTTACTTTGGCTCTGGAGCTTGTTTTCGTACAAAGCTCCAACGTCTCAATGGACCATTTGCATTATATGATAATCACAAAGAGCATCACAAAATTAGTAATATTCCAAAGTTTCGTTGCGACATGTTGTAAAATGCGGATAATATAGCCTTGCGAAATTTGCAATTTTCAGTCATTTTGTATTACATACTGGAAATTGATGCCCCAACACCCGATTGGGCTGTCAATTTCCCGTGCGTAATACAAAATGACTGAAAAGCGGCAAACTTCGCAAGGCTATATTATCCGCATTTTACAACATTTCGCAACGAAACATTGGAATATTACTAATTTTGTGATGCTCTTTCAAGCTGTGATGAAATTTTTGTCTAGACTTGTCCATTACGGAAACGAGGCTGTATAGCAGAGGTGACTGGTGACATACTTTCCGGATGCGTGTATTCTTGGAGGCCGTGTATCTTACTACAACCTCAAAAAATACATCTTTTCTTTCAGGAAACATTAGGCGGTCGCATTCGTTTTGTTCTGAGTGGGTCAGCTCCTCTTTCTGACAGAGTCATGAAATTCTTGCGCGCATCGTTTGGATGTTTTGTAAGTTGAAATTCGATAAATTACAAACACTGCATTGTGTAACATGAACACAGTGAGTTTAAGTTTAAAATAAAATAAAATAAAATAAAATAAACGCAACTTCAACAACTCTGCTGATTTGTTTAGGTATTTGAAGGTTATGGACAGACGGAGACAACTGCTGGTGCTACAATACAGCTCATGGGGGATCCAACAATAGGTGACAGAGCTAGATTCACCACAGTCTATTACATGGGTCCGGTTGTATCAAGCCCGTTTAGCTTAAACGGTGGTTAAGCTCAAAATAGAAAGCAAGTCTATAGATTCATTCAACAACAAAACTAAAAGTTTTGAACCTTAATAGAACGATATTGTTTTCAACGACATATTCAGTGCAGAATATTTAAGTTAACAGATTCACGAAAGATATAAGAGAGTTATTTAATTTTGACTTATCCACCGTTTAAGCTAACGGGCTTGATACAACCGGTCTCTGGTTTACACTATCAAAGTTTCTGTGATCACAGTAGGAATTTTGCATATAGGTAAGTCGTAGCTACGTCTTGAAGGATTTGTAAACGCCGATTTAGACTACACAATTTTTGCCTAAGACTGTCGCATGTAATCTTCTTACAACTTGAATTGTACTGTGTGAATCAAGCACACAACTCACCTGCGTTGGCGTGAGTGGCGTGCTTGATTAATATAGTACAACTCAAGTTGTAAGCAGGTTGCATGTGATAGTTTTAGGCAAAAGTTGTGTAGTGTTGTTTGAGGGAACTAACTAAACTCTCTTACAAATCCTTCAAAACTTAGAATTTACCCATGCAAAATTCCTGCTGTGATCACAGAAACTTTGATAGTGTAAATCAGGCCTAGCTCATTGTGTCCCCAACAGAACCCTCTATCATTTATTGTGGCAACAGTTGCTGGGTTGTAATGCGTGGGAAAATCATGCGTGGGCAATGTCGCAAAGTAAATACTTAATGCATAAACTGTCAACTCATGAATACATAACTTGAAATCTATACAAACACAAAAAGCTCGCACTTCAAAATTAAAATTTCAAAGGGATTATGATGAATATCATCGAAGGTCACTTCTCGGCTTACCAATTTAATATCTTACCAATTTAATATAGGCAAGAGTTGTGTAGTGTAAACTTACAAGTAGCCTTAAGAAATTTTGGGGGAAACTAACTTAGTGTTTAACATTAAGTCATCAGTTCCCTCAAAACTCTCTTACAAATCCTTCAAAACTTAGAATTTACTCAATTTGATCACAGAAACTTTGATAGAGTAAATCAGCCGAAAGGCGTATTCGCGAAATGTCGAAGTTCTCCTTATATTTTTCAGGTAGTTGTGCGCATATACTCTTTACACCACATCTTAGAAACTTACGCAGTCGGTCTGATATGAATTAAAATGTTGTGTTTTATCAGGTCATGTTGGGCCACCTTTACCTTGTAACCTCGTCAAACTTATTGATGTTCCTGATATGGATTACTATGCCAAAGACGGCACAGGCGAGGTATACTACTACATACGTAAAAACGCACAAGTTGTAACAAACCTGCAACAGACTTGTACACGTAAAAATCTCACAACTTGTCAACAAGATGTGTTCACAACAGGCTTGTAGCAAGCTTGTCAACAAGTTGTAACAATGCTGTTATTTTATCAAGTTGCTACAAGGTTGTCACTCACAACTTGTTGACAAATTGTTGAATTGCAGGACGATAACAAGTTGTTGGAGCAACTTGTAACAAGTCTGTTGAGCTCAACAACCTTGAAGCAAGTTGTCAACAAGCCGTTGACAAACTTGTCAACAAGCTGCGAACACATCCTGTTGACAAGTTGTTGGAACAGTATTGCTACAGGTCTGCTGCAGGTTTGTTACAACTTGTGCGTTTTTATGTGTGTAGCAATGCTGTTCCAACAACTTGTCAACAGGATGTGTTCGCACTGCTTGTTCCCAGCTTTATAACAAACGTACTTGCAGGGAGGTGAGTCCGGGATTGGACGCACCGAGGGTGGCTGGAAGTTTCTGCACGTCTAAATTTGAAACTTCTGATTTCAGGAACAAATTTTACATTTTATTTCCAGGTGTGTTTCAAAGGTCCTAATATTTTCCAAGGATATTTATATGATGATCAGAAAACCAAGGAAGCTTTTGATGAAGATGGTTGGTTGCTTTCAGGAGATATTGGAATCTGGCTTCCTAACGGAACATTAAAAATTGTAGACAGAAGAAAAAACATATTCAAACTCTCGCAGGTTTGGGCAAGATACCTTGACATAATGTTTGAATGTAAAAACTTTTGACAGTATATACCAGTGAGATATCTTTTCCAGGTAGTTCAGACACAAACCACGACAGCTTATTGTAGAATTACCTACACTGGACCACCACGTTTGAGATATGTTTTTCAGGTAGTTCAGACACAAACCACGGCAGCTTATTGTAGAATACTACCTACACTGGACCACCACGTTTGAGATATCTTTTCAGGTAGTTCAGACACAAACCACGACAGCTTATTGTAGAATACTACCTACACTGGACCACCACGTTTGAGATATCTTTTTCAGGTAGTTCAGACACAAACCACGACAGCTTATTGTAGAATACTACCTACACTGGACCACTACGTTTGAGATATCTTTTTCAGGTAGTTCAGACACAAACCACGGCAGCTTATTGTAGAATACTACCTACACTGGACCACCACGTTTGAGATATCTTTTTCAGGTAGTTCAGACACAAACCACGACAGCTTATTGCAGAATACTACCTACACTGGACCACCACGTTTGAGATATCTTTTTCAGGTAGTTCAGACACAAACTACGACAGCTTATTGTAGAATACTACCTGCACTGAACCACCACGTTTGAGATATCTTTTTCAGGTAGTTCAGACACAAACCACGACAGCTTATTGTAGAATACCACCTGCACTGGACCACCACGTTTGAGATATCTTTTCAGGTAGTTCAGACACAAACCACAACAGCTTATTGTAGAATACTACCTACACTGGACCACCACGTTTGAGATATCTTTTCAGGTAGTTCAGACACAAACCACGACAGCTTATTGTAGAATACTACCTACACTGGACCACCACGTTTGAGATATCTTTTTCAGGTAGTTCAGACACAAACCACGACAGCTTATTGTAGAATACTACCTACACTGGACCACCACGTTTGAGATATCATCCTGCTATTTCAAATATAGGGAGAATATATAGCTCCAGAGAAAATTGAAGAGATCTACCAACCATGTCCTTCTGTCCATCAAGTTTTTATCACTGGGATTGGCACAGAGGTGGGTATACAGTCATATTTAATTCAGACAAGGTTTCCAAGTATAATGCTTCACAATGTATTTTTTATTGGTATTTGGTGAAATCTTTATGATTGAATTTTAGAGTTGTGTAGTTGGTATTGTTGTTCCTGAAACTGCCGAGTTAAACAAAACATTCCCAGGACAAGTTGAAGAACTGTGTAGCAATGAGGTATTGTTTGTTTGTTTGTTTGTTTGTTTGTTTGTTTGTTTGTTTGTTTGTTTGTTTGTTTGTTTGTTTGTTTGTTTGTTTGTTTGTTTGTTTGTTTGTTTGTTTGTTTGTTTGTTTGTTTGTTTGGTTGTTTGTTTGTTTGTTTGTTGTTTGTTGTGTTCTGTATACATGTGTTCTCCTCACAACCAACAAGTGACCTTATCTATTTATTCGCACAGGAAGTGAAACAACACATTCTTAAAGAGATGACGTCGTTTGCCAAGAAAGCTAACCTCAGGTCATTTGAGCAGGTGCGTGTTGTATTCAGGGTTTTCAACATCTGCACCCGATAGAACTAACGGTAGAAAGGATTTGTTGATGGTGAATTCAAGTGTGAATTCTATACATTTATTATACCTAACCAGGAACAGCTGTGAAAAATGCAACTATAGATCCCCTGGCAGGAATCGAACTTGCGGCCCTGTGATTCCGGTGCAGTGCTCTAACCAACTGAGCTACAGAGAGACAGTTGTCGAGCTCTAACCAACTGAGCTACAGAGAGACAGTTGTCGAGCTCTAACCAACTGAGCTACAGAGAGACAGTTGTCGAGCTCTAACCAACTGAGCTACAGAGAGACAGTTGTCAAGCTCTAACCAACTCAGCTACAGAGAGACAGTTGTCAAGCTCTAATCAACTCAGCTACAGAGAGACAGTTGTCGAGCTCTAACCAACTGAGCTACAGAGAGACAGTTGTCGAGCTCTAACCAACTGAGCTACAGAGAGACAGTTGTCGAGCTCTAACCAACTGAGCTACAGAGAGACAGTTGTCGAGCTCTAACCAACTGAGCTACATAGAGACAGTTGTCAAGCTCTAACCAACTGAGCTACAGAGACCAGTTGTCAAGCT